CAATGCTTTAGTTTACATACTTTTGGCTCAAAAAAGAGAAGAAGCAGTGGTTCGATTCGCTCTCTTCGCAATATGATGGATTTTGGAGCGTTCTCTTCTTCCTAAGGTGCAAAACTCATGTGAACTCACCGATATTCATGCCCCGGACCAACCCAGTTGGGTTGGTGTTGGTCTAGAAAACAACAAATTTGAGAACGGATATCAGGACACATAAGTTTTTGAAAACTTTTTACATAATGTTGTTTGGAGTGATATTGTATATACATAGCCCAAATTCGGCGTCATGTGATTGTTTGTGCGCTGTAAACAAGCCATCTGTTTGTTTGGGTCTCACATTTGAAATTCGCGCGCTTACCAAAAAACACGTTTAACTTGTAAGACTTGACATGTTTGCCGTTTTTCTTCGGTGCTTCGCCCAGAATCTTATGAAAACGATATCACCGTTGCTTCTAACTCCAAAAACGAAGTCCAACTTGACTCCGAACCATCTGTGCCGGGCCTTGTTTGTAGAAAGTAATGTCAACTTTCTGCCGCGTATGGTTATAAAATGACATGTCATATACATGTATACCAGGTTTCAACAAGGGTTTTGTTTCGCCTACCGCCTACCTGTCAACGTAACTTTTTATTGTTTTTTTATCAATGTTCACCCCGTTTGCTAATTGTCGCTTCTAGAACGAACTCTGTTATCATAATGTTTATGCTGTTTTGGATGAACGTATTAGATGTGCCCAGAACAGCGAGGGCTACATCATTTCAATGGAGAAACAATCGGTAGTGATCATCATTTCCGATATTTCTTCTGAAGTCTCACGCAAAAATAGTTCGAAAAGAAAAACAATTCTGAAATGACTGCCGAAAACTCAAGATGTTGCCTTCGAACCTTTTATACAAAGCAGCTGAGTAGCTCTCGAGTTATCTTAAATGCTTTGGTAGATACCTGTTCGGAAATGATTTCGAAAAAACATGTCAAACTGAATCGAAACGTGTTAATTTTTTAACTTGACACGTGGCAGGTAAACAGTTTTCATCAAATATGTGAAAAAAATTTTCTAAATCATTACCTGATCTATGAGAACTTTTTAGAACATGAGTCATGATAGTAAACTACTTTTATATGCTCTACACGTCAATGTGGCGTTTTGCTTTGTTTCATCCCTCAAAGACGATTATGGTTAGTCAGTCACTATACACGTATTTTGTTGTACTTCCACTAACCACAAACTGCTCCGATGGATAAAAAACCTACCAAATCGATGGTGTGTATGTAGCTCTTAAAACCAGGACGTTAGAAGAGCCGCTTGCTTTGGAAGAGTGGGTGGATTGAAACGCAAATGTACATTTGTATTGGCTCACATTGAAAAACATCTACTCTAATTAGTTCTACCCTCTCGCGAGTACAAGGCGCAAGGTTATTTTTTCAGCATCCAATCCAAGCACGCAAAGTTTGGCGATTAGAGACGTCGTCTGCGCCAAAAAATTGTGCGAGAGGGTGAACATTCCGCAAGCAACTACAGAGCTAACCATCTCGCATTTGAAGAACCAAAAAGTGCGCCTTGTAATCGTGAGACCAGGATAGTAGGGTGCCAGTGGTGGTCCTCCTCAAAGACAGCGTTCCGGCAAAATTTCGCTTTCCGGTTTTTCACCTCTTCGCCATGAAGCCACATCTGAGCTTTTCTGCGTTTGAAAATGGCAAAAATGAGCTTTCTTCGAAGCTCTTCATGTCCGCGTTTGCTCCAAACTACGTGTAAGAAATGGGCGGATCCTGGAAATGGACGGTGTCCGGGAGAATTCCGGAGCGGATTTTGGGCTTTACAGAATAGCTTTTTCGCTTCAGACGTCACTGATAGATTAGCTGGAGGGTCTACCATTGCAACATTATAAAACCTCGATACCCATTATTTTGAGGGGACGCTGCCTTCAAGGATGTTTTGCTTTGCGAGGAATCCATTCTGATGCTTCTCACAATGTGACCTGCCCATGGTGGTTCGTTTTTTCAACGTATTCCGCTTAATTCCGAAGGCGGAACATCTCTCTCAAAAGCGTACTGCGAAGCCCAACGAGATGTTGGGTCATCATCAGAAAACTGCGCTCAAGTGCTCTGTGGGTGGTTCAGAGCCTCCGATTCGCTGCAAATCAATCCAGTCACTGTTATATTTTTAGGAGTGGCACATAGTTGATTTCAATATTTACTTTAATTGCTACTTTTCCTAAGTTTTGAAGTTTTTCTGCAACACAATACATGCGAAATTCGGTGAAAATATTTAAGTCCTTTCATATCTTTTATTGGTTTGCAACCAAGATTATATTCGGGTCCATCGTTCATATTACCGCAGTATGCAAAATTTGGGCAAAGTCTGACAGCTCCAATTCCTTAGCAGTGACTGATCATCGGAACAGCTTTGACTCATTCGATTCCTTCTCGAGGGCATTACCTCAGTCTTTCTTCAACTTGCAACCTCTTTTTCTTACTGAGCTCACAAGTTTTTGATACTTAGTAACCTCTAGCAAACTTTGCCTGCGATTTTAGTTCCATGCGCATCATCTAGGCTGTGCAATGCTTCAAATTTGCTTCAAAACCGTAAACCTTTAGAATGCACCAGTTTTGAGAAAATGCAAATTTTTTTCTATCCTGTCCTCAAACATCAGACAATTCAATCATATCCGCACTTTGCATCACAATCTACATAATGCCAAAGATTGATTGCGGCAGATCATAAAAGAGGAAATTTGCTGAAGTTATTGGGAGACTTATGCAACACCTTAATAATATTTTCTTTATTATTGATGCGGATGGATTATTAAATATGTAAGCATTTGCAGACACTTGATGGAGTCGTGTCTTTGGCCCGTAGTAAACCCCTATTCACTTTAGGTGATCTGGGATTAGCCATCAGAAGAACTTTCTCAGGTGAACCTAATCCCGCCTACCTTATCACGCTTTAGGATAGTCGGTTCGTCAGTCAGAAGAGTGTTCCGTCAAGTCTTACAGTCAGTTCACCAGAATACCACTTGTCCGAGGTTGGATTTTGGGGTGACTCAAGAGAGCAAGTATGCAAAAGAGGAGAATCAGACAATTTTCCGTAGGTTGCTAGTGAGTAAGTTACGGGACAATCCACTTGACGTGATACTGCGGTGCAAAATTCGCAAAGCTGCAGGATTTCGGCGGTCTCAATGGGAGAGGATCAATGAACAGGTGATTGCGGCGAGAAAAGCAAAAAAAGCAGGATTTCTTTTTATATCAGGGCTTGCTTACGTTTCTCTTTCAAAAACTGCTTTGAACAAGGATTTTTTGATCTGTCTCATTTGCTTTATGGACCAATATTTTCGTTTTTTTGTGATGTCCTCGTCAAAATTTGATAGTTTTGTTTTAACTATTTGTTTGCTTGGCGATATCCTTACAGGCATTGTCCAGGTCAACTTGGGGGTATTGGGATCTTGACACATTGTGAGAGCACGGCTCCTGACTAACGCAACAGTTCAAGTGCCATTGAAAAAGATGGGTTCAGTTTGCAAAAAAGGGGCGGTACTCCAATCCAGCCTCCTTGACAAGTTTTGACGTGGCGAATGTTCAAGATGTAGTGTATTGGCCACGTCAAAACTTGTCAAGGGGCGGGAATGGAGTATTGCCACCTTTTTTGCAAACTCGTCCGAAGCGATCTTCTCGCTTCAGATTCTACCTTTTTCGATCGCACTTGAACTGTTGCGTTAGTCAGGAGCCGTGCTCTCACACTGTGTCAAGATCCCAATACCCCAAGTTGATCTGACAATGCCTTCAATAACGGCCGCCATCGATTTTTCTCGATAACGGCCGGTATCAAAGACTGTCCTATGGTGGCGCAAAAATTCGCCACTAGCCGGCGTTGAACCGCAAACGTTCGCTTTGAAACCCATTCACTTAGCCTCTCAAAGGGTTTATTTTGAGAACGCACAAGATCTGTAGGTCTAAAAAGCGATCCGGATCTGGATCGATGACTCACCAGATGCACGATTGGAGCACTCTACGATCAACGTAGGCCCTTCCCCAGCCGAGCTGGTCTGAACAGAGGTTTACTTCGGGCCTTTGTCGTATCCCTTAAATATGATTAATTCCTGTAGTTAGTTCTAACTAAGAAGAGTTTGATGAGATCTAGTTGAGTGTTGTAGATTTCCTAAAGCGATCGTGTTCACATTCTTAACTGCTCCGTAAACGATATCTCTGTTTATAACACTACGAGTGTTCACAATAATAAAGGTAGCTGGGTATAACTTGTTTTTGAGAGAGGCCCATCTGGCGGAAGCGTTTTGATCGATTACTAGCTCAAAATAAACTCCGCCAAAGGCACCTTCAAGTGATTAATACAACGTGTCAAGCTTGCTCTGCACCTCCCTTTTTTGCATGTTCCTTAAGGTAGTGTTCAAATCAATCTAGCTAGACTCTGAAGGAGGCAATATTGCCGAAACGAAATTCAATAAAAAAGTCACTAATCTCGGTGTGCGGCTCAAGCAGTCTCAAGAAGCAATCTATGTAGATAATTTGTCATGCAAATTTGATTTTTACTTCATAGAAGCCATATTTGAGGACGAGAAATTTTGTGTTAGACTACTGTCTGATACTGGACGTGAGGGCGCTAATTCGCCTATGAAAGCGTGCGGTAACGACTGAGAATCTGAGTTGCCTGTCAAAATTGCGTATGCAACGCCGTGCTGACAATTTGGCACTGTAATTGAGAGACGTAACAAGCTCGAAACTTGTTTCTTCATTCCATTGTCCCCCTTGAATCACCTTCATGGTTTTGAAGCCCAGCTACTTACTTCTTTGTTTCTACACGAATAATTCCCATTAAGCATCTTCTACCATAGAACCAGAGCAGTGCTTGCGACAGCATCTGGAGTGTGCATGAAGAAATGCGTCATAGATTCACTATTCATACTTATGTTCATTTCTCGATTCGAGTCGATGAATCGACATCACTAAAACCATCAAACCAACTACCTTATGAAAGATCAATTTCAGAGTGAGAAGGAGAAATCGTGCCTATGGATTCTATGTTGCTTGAATCGACTTTGTCCCAAATCACGCTGTTAAAGGTGAGCCACTTATTATTTTTACGCAGTTACGAAAAGATTCAAAAGCTGCTTATGTCCTTCATCACACCCAAAGTTTAATGATGTCAAATTACATTATGTTTTATAGACCATGATTTCTTTGAGTTTCCGAAAATTTATGTTAGGGCTCTTTTCTAAGGCCTCGAACTAATCGGTAGATTGCCGAAGAAAAGGAAGTTGTATAAGCGCAATTCTATCCACATGAATTTCCTCGAGATACGCGTTTTTTTTTCAAACTGGAAGAAGTTGAAAAAATAACGCTCGGAAAGTTTTTAATTCTTTCTCTGGAATTGAAAGCGCGACGTGCCAAGGACGCAACAACTGCGTATCCGTGTCATGTCCCTCGAAGTGTATAATTCTCAATTTTTGGGCATATCAAGGTAGGTAGACTCCAACCTGTTTGATGGCATTATAGATACCAGCAGTTAGCACACATTGCGGAAAGTTGCCAACTCCGGCGTGGACTCGCGGATTGTTTATAGGTTCTGATAATAACCTCATATAATCTTAGTCCGCAACAATGAATACGCTATTTTCGTGCTCTCTGACCTTTCGGCAGCTCCTAACTCATAAATTTCGACGAGCTGCCCGCTTGTTGTCAGCAGCACCTCCTGCTCAAAAATGTTTCTATAGGAAAAGTTCTGAAAACTCGTATATCGATGTAGACCTATTCAAATCGCCGTGGCATTTTCAACGAAGAATTTTTCTGTATAAAGGCTTCAAGCGGCCAAAGGTGGAACCTTGTTTTTACCAACCTGACGTCAAGCTGCCGGCGATCTGCGGGCTAAACCTGCCGCCATGTTGGGGGGGGGGGGGGGGGGGTGAATGCTGGCCCAAATGTCGAAATATATTCCCACGCTCTAAATCTGTAAGGTGATAACCATATTTATCTGAACACCGCTTCTCGATAACGTCGCCGTAGTATTGAAAAGAAAAAACAAAAATATCACAAATACCATGTCAATTGTTCAAAAGTTCCACTTTCCTTAAACCTCGGCATCGCTCATATTCCTCAGTACTGCTGTGCCAGACAGGTTTGGTAGGTGTTCTTTATTCCAATCAAGGCCTAACGTTTCGACGCCTTTCGTCTTCCTCAGAGGCCTGAAAATGGCTCAAAGCGTCATCTGTGAAAAGAGGCCATCAAGCACCATCCTCATTCCTGCTAGTTCTCGATCTTCGCTCAACATCCCTACCGCAAAAATTGTCAGCGCCAGAAAATGAACATACCGTTGAGAACACCGCTACGTCAGTTTCCGCACCGGAAGTGATGGTCTTGGCGGAAGGACTAAACTATACTATAAATGCATATAGCATGTGATCTATAGATTGCATATCGATAAGAATGGAAGGAAGTCGTTGGTGACTGACAAACATTCATTCTTATTGTTCATTGCTGGATTCTTTGAAGAGATCCAGAATGCTTCCAGCGCCTTCCTAGCCGAGGTTTCTTTCTCAAAGGTTAAGATTTCGCACTTTATATCGAAATCGGCTCCACCATGCGCTTCGTTCCTATGCCTGCCCAACGGTGATAACAGGGTTTTACGCCTTTTATCTGCCAGATGTTCGTTTATGCGAGTACTAAGTGATCTTCCAGTTTCGCCAATATACTAGAGAGCATTGCAGCTAAGGCATTTCAATTGATAAACCAATCCCGCTTGTGCACAGTCACTTATTCTACCGTACGGACAGACTACGCATCTTTCTGTTATACAGTATCGATCGTAAAGTCTGTTTCGAACCAACTGCTTTTTGATATTGTCGTTTGGGATGTTCACTAAGACAACATCGTCTTGCAGTTGTGCGCGTATAATGCACTTTCGAAAAGCCGTACTGATGTTATCGGAAATAAATAAAAAAGAAAATTTCATTTTCTGGCGCTGACAATTTTTGCGGTAGGGATGTTGAGCGAAGATCGAGAACTAGCAGGAATGAGGATGGTGCTTGATGGCCTCTTTTCACAGATGACGCTTTGAGCCATTTTCAGGCCTCTGAGGAAGACGAAAGGCGTCGAAACGTTAGGCCTTGATTGGAATAAAGAACACCTACCAAACCTGTCTGGCACAGCAGTACTGAGGAATACCATGTCAATTCTATTCACTCATGCAGTCCTCTTTAATAGTGCATTGATAGTCAATGCATCATAATCACATAGATCACAAATTCTGCTGCCTCCAAAGGAATAATATCCAACACTGAAGTGATGTATTGCCGTCAAATGAACACCAGGAACGAGTTTTTACTTTTTTAGCCCTTTTGGAATATATGCAAAGTCAGTGTAATTCGTACTACCGAATCTGTACCCTTCGTCCCCTCATGCAGAGCTTTCTATCTATTTTTCTCAAGGAGAGGTATAACCGGTCATTAGAAAAGTTTGCTGGCACGCGCCCAAGCACATAATTTTTTGACGATTTGAACTTATCCGTAGTCTTTCAGCACCACTAGCATCTTTTCCAGAATAAAACTTTTTGGGTAATGCAGGAGTAAGAAAGTGAGAAAGCAATCAAACCACGGGATAGTATTCCTACAATGATGATGTAACCTCTATGACGTCCCGGTATCTAAGACAACAATCTTTTACCTGTAATATTCAGCTGGTCTTATTCTACAATATTCAATTATTTCTTAATTAGCAAAATATTCTTATGTGCAGGTCATTCATCCTTGTAAGCTTACAAGGAAAGAATACTTGGTGAACGTGACCTTTTGCAGTGAGATGTATACCAGTAGATGGAACTTGGAATATTGATTTCAAATCTATGTTCATTACCTGCTGAGTCTCTGGACAAAGTTATGGACTTTTTCCATAATAACCTCACGAGGTCTAGGCAATCGGAATCGTTGGCTTCCATGCTTTTCATTCTACGTCTACTTTCAAAAGAGCGCACAGCAGATGCCGAAGGCAGATATGGATTTAGCACTCCAAGATGCATTTAGTGGTGAAGTTTTCAACCCCAAAGGCCACAATCACCAAGTATCCTTCCCTTGTTAGAAAAGTTTTTCAAGCTAGGCAACGTTTTCTCCCCATGCTCTCACTAATAGCGTTGTAGTCATAAGGCTTCTTGCTGCAAATAGGCACAGATGTCAGAATTCTTTCTCTCAATGGTTGGGACTAATTTGGCCAATGATGATTCATTGGCCCGTAGTAACCCATTGCCTCAGTCGATCTCAACTAAAAAAGTTTTGGACGTGTCAGCTCTGCCTCATTTGAGTCATTGATTGATAATTCCAACCATCCATGATAATTTCATTGAGAAGGTCACGTCCATGCAAGTGTACAAGTCAGAAGGTGTTTACCAAACATTCACATTTAAAAGGTTGTCCGGAATTGAGTCCGTTTTGAGTTTGAATCGCAATAAGTCATATCTTTTTTCTAGATAGGTTGCAAAGTACCATTCCACACGACCGGATCAGGACCGCCTTCTTGTAGAGAAATACAAGCTCTACAAGAAGGTGGTTCTGGTTTCACACCAGCTTTGACCCACCCCGAGTTTCAATCAAAAAGTAAAAAGATTTAATTGACCGAAAAATCGAGAAAAGTCGTAACTTAGTCCATAAAAATCTTACAAAAATTCCAATTTGCTCACATTTACTCTATTCACATAAGGCATTTATATACGCCGTTGCTGTATATTTTTCTCGGTTGGAAATCAAAAAACGAAAATTTTCTTGCTTTTGCTAACGTGATGCTGTGCTGTCCCCACATAAGCAGCTGTATACTACAAATTTGTGAAAGTATAAACGTAAATTTTGCAGTTCTCTATAAGCTTTACTTCTCGAGAAATACCAAATACAACTTTCCCTAGTCGGGTAATCTACTCTAAAATTCGAAATTTTCGAAAACTAGAGCTGTGAAGAGCTGAAAATACATGTTTATACTTCTACAGGTTAGTAGTATACAATCACATATGTGCGAACAGCACAGCTTCACTTCGGCAAAAGCATGAAATATCTTCGTTTTTTTTGATTTCTAACCGAGAAATAAAAATACGCCAACGGCGTATATAGATGTCTTATGTGGTTAGTGTATACGTGAGTAAGTTAGAATTTTGTGGGACTTTTACGGGCTGAGTTAAGATTTTCTCGACTTTTCGGGCAGTTGAAACGTTTTAGTCTTTGATTTCAAACTCTAAGTGAATCAAAGCTGGTGCAAAAGCATAACTGCCATCTTGTAGAGCTTGCTTTGCTTTGTTGAATGGTACTTTGCAACCTATCTAGAAATGAGAAGTTTATAAACTATTGCGGTTCAAATTCAAAACGGACATTGATTTCCCGACAATCTAATAGATATGTATCTAGTTCGCTGGCGGCAGAGTATTGGCCGTACTCGTTAGATCTTGTTGAAGGTCTGAGCCTGCATTAAAACTCCTCACCAGGTATTTATTCGACATGTTTGTAAACTGACGTGTGTTGTAAGTTACTCAGGATTAACTTACAAAAATCTCTGTGCCTCGTAACTTCCACGCTATTTGGATCAGTTGACGTCTCAACTAAATGTTAATTTACAAGTGTGAGGTAGTCTGCCTCGTCAGTCAGACAGACGGTCAACTGTCAGTTCACGTTGTATTCTTGTAGTATGGACAGGGGCGGTCGTCATCCCTCAAGAAAACTTAATTGAACTGAGGCCAACTTAACTGAGGCCAACTTACAAGGGAACCGTGTCGAGTCGAAGTGGCCTTTCCAGATGAGACCCATACTGCTTTGAAGAGTATTAAGCGTTGATTCCAAATCTGCCTTCCAAGTCTGCCAAGTCTGATACTTGACACTGGACCATTTGAGCAAATTTGGGCGATTTTGCTTCAGTATTGCGTTCAATTTTTTGACCTGAAAAACGAGCATAACTCGGCGTCCAGAGGCGCTTGGCAGATATGGAAAGCAGATTTGGAATCATCGATTAATGCTCTTCAAAGCAGATGGGTCTCATCTGGAAAGGCCACTTCGACTCGACACGGTTCCCTGTTACTGAAGCCCTCAGAGATCACCTG